CACACTTTTCACATTTCACATTTTACTTAATATTTATACCCTACACCACTTTAGTGGGGAGGGTATATTGGGTTTGTGCTGATGTTTGTAGCGCACAATAATATTGGTCCTATACCCATCTTAAAGTATACCAATCGGCTCAGAATCATTTTCTGAGTCGATTTAGCTATGTCCGTCCGTCTGTCCGTCCGTCTATGTAAACCTTGTAATCAAACTACAGGTCACAATTTTGAAGATAATTCAATGAAATTTGGTACATGATCTTCTATTGTCCCAGGGACGAAGCCTATTGAAAATGGTTAAAATCGGTCCATTATTTCACCTAGCCCCCATACAACTGAACCCCCCAATAGGGCTTGTAATCCTTGTAATCAAACTACAGGTCGCAATTTTGGAGAAAATTCAATGAAATTTGGCACATGATCTTTTATGGTATCGCAGATGAAGCCTATTGAAAATGGTTAAAATCGGTCCATTATTTCACCTAGCCCCCATACAACTGAATCCCCCAATAGGGCTTGTAATCCTTGTAATCAAACTACAGGTCGCAATTTTGGAGAAAATTCAATGAAATTTGGCACATGATCTTTTATGGTATCGCAGACGAAGCCTATTGAAAATGGTTAACATCGGTCCATAATTTCACCTAGCCCTCATACAACTGAACCCCCGAATAGGGCTTTTAAACCTTGTAATCAAACTACAGGTAGCAATTTTGGAGATAATTCATTGAAATTTGGCACATGATCTTTTATGGTATCGTAGACGAAGCCTATTGAAAATGGTTAAGATCGGTCCATTATTTCACCTAGCCCCCATACAACTGAACCCGCCGAATAGGGCTTTTAAGTTCATAATTATGTTTAATATACTCATTTCTCGACAAAAAGCTGTAAAAACCAAGTTGTATACAAGACTTGATGACCCGCACGAATTCCATAATAATAGGTTCTCATATGACCCTAGCCCCTATGAAAAGCCCCCATCAAAATTTCACTTAAATGTCCACAATTTTATTCAACAATAAACGGCTTAAATATGTATATCTAAGGCAAGGTACAATTCAACTTAATTGCTTTATTATGGCAACTAAATTACATTATATATGTAGGGTATTATATGGTCGGCCTCGCCCGACTATAATTTCTTACTTGTTTTTTTTAGACTTGACTACACACAGACATACACATTCTTACACACACACACAAAAATGCATCCTCCCCCTTCATATTAGGTTTTGCTCTTTTTCATTTAAATTATTAGTAATTGATTGAACATTAGGAAAAATTTGAAAATAACACACATTTGATTGAGAAAACATGCGAGAGTTGATTTATTAGTTTGCTTCCTCCAATCTGCTACAACTTACATACATATTTATACAATTTTTGGTACATGATGGACAATTATAAAATGTTGTTAGGTCAATGACATGTTGTATGTTTTGTGTGTTTTTTTCTTTTTTTTTATTCTTTAAAAATTCATTGTGGTTGATGAATGAATGCAGAGAGCATTTGAATAGTTTTTTTTTTTGTGTCAAAGACCCAATTGGAAGTATTTTTTTAAATATATTGCATCGATAAGAGATTCTTTTATAGAATTCAAAAGATAACAATTGTTATCAAAGTATTGTTATTTGAGGCAACAAATGTGATTTATTAGTAAAAGTACAATGAATAGGTAACTTTTTAAAGTTTAGTACATTTTAAGCCTTTTTGAAGGGGAATTAAATTAGGACATATTGTACGTCCAACTGCCATCCAAGAACAAGAGGTTTTTACATTCAAGGTATATGACTAAAATTAGTACATATTATGAGTGTACAAAAAAACAAACTGTCTCTAGTCTAGTCTTTATTTAAACTTAAAAACATTTTAATAAAAGTTGGGTGTGAAACTACTTTTTTCATATTTAAGTCATGGTCAAAAACTCGTCGCTGTAAATTTATTTATTTGCAATATGAAAATAAACCTCAATAGCCAAACATCCCCTAAAAAAGTGTTTAAATATGCGTACATACAAAGTTACACATATCACTTGACAAATAAATTATTTGTTATTAATGTTATACCTTAATTATACGAATATTTAATGTAAATAATACCACCAGAATGAATCACGCAGTTTGTGGGTTTTCGACTGAACTAATTACTTAAGCAAAATTTTTTTTTTCATTTCGTTTTCTTTTTATGTACATATATTAGTTTCTTTTTTCTCTATTTTAATTTTGAATATGACCAAAAATATTATTAAACACTTGGCGTGTTTAACATAAATTCAATTAAGTTAAAAATAAAATATCGTGAATAATAAAAACAAATTTACTATTAAAATAAAGAAAATTGTGATTTGTGATTAAGAACTTAATGGGTTTGAAGTTAGATACTGTAAGCAATAGAATTTGTAAAGATTTTTAAATTAAAGTGAAGAAAAGCTTTACTATATTACGTCCGAATTTTATATTAATGTAGACGGATCTATAGTCTCAACTATAGAATGTTCTATAGTCTCAACTATAGACTGTTCTATATTCTGAACTATAGACTCTGCTATAGTCTCAACTATCGACTGTTCTATAGTCTCAACTATAAATTGTTCAATAGTCTCGACTATGGACTGTTCCATAATCTCGATTATAAACTGCTGTAGTCACGACATAAAGCAGCTTTATAGTCCCGACTATAGACAGTTTTATAGTCTCAACTATAGATTGTTCTATAGGCAAGACTAAAGATTATAGTCTCGACTATAGACAGTTCTATAGTCTCGATCATAGACAGTTCTATAGTCTCGACCATAGACTGTTCTATAGTCTCCACTATAGACTGTTCTATAGTCTCCACTATAGACTGTTCTATAGTCTCCACTATAGACTGTTCTATAGTCTCCACTATAGACTGTTCTATAGTCTCCACTATAGACTGTTCTATAGTCTCGACTATAGACTGTTCTATAGTCTCGACTATAAACTGTTCTATAGTCTCGACTATAGACTGTTCTATAGTCTCGACTATAGACTGTTCTATAGTCTCGACTATAGACTGTTCTATAGTCTCGACTATAGACTGTTCTATAGTCTCGACTATAGACTGTTCTATAGTCTCGACTATAGACTGTTCTATAGTCTCGACCATAGAATGTTCTATAGTCTCGACTATAGACTGTTCTAGGGTTCTATAGTTGAAACGAAAAGTCGACTTTTCGACTTTTTGCATTTAGTTAAAAGTCGACTTTTCGACCTTTCGACTTTTTCCATTTTATGAAAAGTCGATTTTTCGACTTTTCGACCTTTTTCATTTATTTAAAAGTCGACTTTTAGACTTTTCGACTTTTAGTATTTTATAAATGGTCGACTTTTCGACTTTTCGACTTTTTCCGACTTTTTTCGACTTTTTTCGACTTTTCGACTTTTCGACTTTTTTCGACTTTTTTCGACTTTTTCCGACTTTTTCCGACTTTTCGACTTTTTCCGACTTTTCGACTTTTTGACTATTTTCGATTTATTTCGACTATTTTTTTACTTTTTTCGAGTTTTTCCGACTATTTTGGAGTTTTTGACCTCTTTTCCACTTTTTTAAAATTTTCGACTCTTTTCGACTTTTTCCGACTTTTCGACTTTTTTCGACTTTTCGACTTTTTTCGACTTTTCGACTTTCTTCGAATTTTTTCGACTTATCGACTTTTTTCGACTTTTCAACTTTTCGACTTTTTTCGACTTTCCGATTTTTTGACTTTTCGACTTTTTTTGACTTTTATTTACAAAGTCGACTTTTCGACCTTTTTCATAGACGATAGTCGACTTTTCGACTTTTTTCGACAAAAAGTCGATTGTTCGATTATTCGAAAGTCGATTTATAGAACCCTAGACTGTTCTATAGTCTCGATTATAGTATATATTCTACAGTCTCGACTATAGACGGCTCTGTAGTCTCGAATATAGACTATCTCGACTACAGACTGTTCTTTAGCCTCACTATAGATGGTTTAGGGATGCTGTAATCAATGTTATCTGGGATATCTGCCAAACAGTTTATTATGGTAGAGTGACCTGACTGAGTAATATGCCACAAATTGTCCTGAGTTAAAACGCAAACTTGAGGGCAACTTCTTGAACCATTAGATCAATAGGTAACCAATTCATCATGACAAGAAGGGGCCTTTAATAGAATCGTACAAAGGATCCCTGATGCGCAAAAGTCCTTCAAATCACTTCCGGAGAACCTCCATTCATAAGAATTTCCACCAGACAAAGGAAACTTTTTCAATTTCACAATTTGAATTGAAATTCATACTATTTAAAAACTTTTTATTAAGAAATATTTTTAAAATAAACTAATTAAAAATATGTAATAATAAAGCTTTATAAATTTGAACATTTTAAACTTGATAAACTTGTCGCAAATTGTAAACAAAAATGTGTAACAAACATAAAAAAATGAATTAGCAAATATACAGTAATGATGGTCTAATTAGTACAGCTATAATATTTACTATTTGAAAACAAAAATATTGAATTAGAGCTTCTTTTTTTCAGGAAAAATAATGGAAAATCTGATAAATAAATTAAATAAACTAAAAGAAATGTTTGTTAGAAATTAAATATCAAAAAATGTTACATATTATTCCTTAATGAATATTTCTTTTTTGTAGAAATGTGCTAATTAACTGATCACCACTGCAATTACGTTGTAGTGTATAATAATATTTAACTATAACATTCATATAAACATACTTTTAAATGGCATTAAATATACTTTATTATTGAAAAATGAGGGAATATTTTCTGTTATCAGTCTTTAAAAAAAATCTCTGATAAAAATTTTATTTTGTATTTTTTTTTTCTGTTTCTTCTACCAAAGGCTAACGAAATAAAAAACGATAAAGTCACATTATTAATGAAAGTCAAAGGTTTTGCTAAACGTATTATAAAACAATATTTTGTGCTAAATCAAATTTAACAATGAGAGAAACTATTAATTTAAAACAAAAAGTAAACTTACCTATTTTTTAAAAAGTTGTAGCATGTATGTAGTAGATAAGTTTATTTATAATCGCCCAGCGACTTCACAGCAAATATAATTGGTTATTTTTGATTATGATAATGATGGTGTCTCGATGTTGTTGTTGGTTGTTTAGGTGTTTAACTCTAACTACTTCAGTTCCCTCAAAATGTTAGTTAACTTTTTTTATGTAATTTTATGTAAAAACGTGTTTTTACATTTAAAAAAAGAGCATTTTGCGGATTACGTACATTCATTAGTTTATTGTTTTTGTTATTATTTGTTATGTTGCTTTGACAAAATTGTATGTCTGTCATATGATCTATTAAACGTACATACCAATCCATACATTTGTGCGAGAACGTACGTACTTTATTTAAAGAATACTAATAGTTATACGTCTAAAATAAGTTTTGTTTTTACTATTTACAATGGAATCACACATGTGGCTGAGTGAACTGGCGCTTTAGTTGTTTTGGATTTAATGTTGTTTTCTTTTGTTTTGTTTAGGTTGCTAGAATGGTTGTTTACTACTAGGCACGTACATAGATACCTACACAAACCCTGTTCTATGTGCCCTTTCTAAGCACTTTCTTGGCAGCCTTAATATTGGGCACTAAGGCCTTAAGCTCACTGCAGTCGTCTAGGAAAGGATGTTTTAATAATTCATCGGCTGTGGCACGTTTGTCTACCTCCACCTGGAGACAGCAATCGAGGAAGTCTTGTAGATTTGGACTAAGTTTGTCCCAACTCTTAACATCGGGTCTGCCATTGGCAGCTATCAGATAAAGGGCTCTCAGTGGCGTTTCGTGTAGGTAAGGAGGTTGACCTTCTATCATTTCTATGGCCATAATGCCAATAGACCAGATGTCTACCTTTTTGCCATATTTCTTGCGGGTCACAACCTCAGGCGCCATCCAGTAGGGGGTACCCACCATGGTTTGACGTTTTTCATCTCCCTCGATGTTGGCACAAAAACCGAAATCTGTTACCTTTACTGAACCATCCATACCCAATAGTACATTGTCGGACTTGATATCACGATGTATAATGCCTTTGGAGTGTAGAAAAGATATAGCATAAAGAACTTCACGGCAAACACAAGCTATTTGTCTTTCCTTCATTACCGTCTCTGTTACCACATCTGTGAGAGGGCCACCGTCCATATATTCCATAATTACCCATAATTGATCCTCTGGCTCTAAGAAGTAAGCATCCAAGAAATTTACTAAATTTTTATGATTGAAATCTTTAAGAACTCTTATTTCGGTAAGAATAAGGTCTTTGGAAGACTGATTTTTCAAATCAATAGTTTTTACAGCCACCTGAGTTTCATTCTGATTATCGGCTGCTATAAAGACAATACCAGAAGCTCCTTTGCCCACTTCCATGGTGGTTTTGTAACGCTCTCTTGGATCATCCATATTGCAAATAGCTCTTAATTCTTCATAAATCTCGGCATCGGTTTTTTGCACACGCTTATCTTTGGAACGTCTTAAAATAGTTTCATCACCATCGCCATCGGCGCTAGTATCAGGTGCCGGTTTAATGATTATGGTGTCGGTGTTAATAGTATGATTACCTTCATTTGTTGAAATTGTAGTTAAATCATTGCGTCCCTTAGACAAACTGGGAGGAAGACCTTTCGGTTTGGCTTTAATCTGAGGTTTGGGCGGTAATGTTTGTGTTTTTTTGGCAGGCAAAGGTGGCGGTAATTCACTCGTTATATCCAATTGTGGCTTAAGTGTTTCCCTTTGGTTCTCCAAGGTGGACTGTAACTCTTTAATAACATCATTGAGTCCCTGTAAACCCACCGAGGCATGTTGCTGGTCATTAAAACTATTATTGCTACTACTGCCGCAAGTGCTGCTACCGCTAGTTGTGGCACTTCCCTCGCTCGAGCGCTCATCTTCGGCACTGTCCAAGTCCTGAGACTTGTGTTTGTTTTTATAGTTGACATAGTTGTCAATTTCCTTGGATTCTTCATGGATGGCTTCTTCGGTAATGAAGGGCTTGAAAATAGCTTCATTTTCTTTCTTCTTAATGGAATAGTTATAAAATTTGACAGCATGGTAGGCAGCATCAGGATTCTTACTCTGTTCATCTTTAGATATCTGATAATTCATTAGCCTTAGCCAGGGTGCGGGCAGACCCTCTAGCACCCCGGTCTCTTCATTCCGAGAGACATGAAAATGTCGCTGAAAGTTGGTTGGATTACCTATTTCCGAAATAGGTTCCTTTTTCTTAAACCAACCTTTGATGCCAGTAAAACTAGTCATTTTTGAATAGGTGTTACTTTTCTTTCTCCTAAACGAAAAAGAGTTTTCTTTTTGATTCAATTAATATTAAGATAATTACTGCTAGTTTTCACAATAACAATATCTAGTCCATGCAAATGAATGCTCTTGATATTTGATTCCCTCTTGCTGCCGTTTTTACTACTGCTGCTGCATGTTTCGAGTGAGTCATGCAAGTTTAGTACGCCGCTAACAACCAGCAGCGACAACACAATATTCATACAACTTTATTTTTTTTAGTTTAAATTTTCGTTTTCCTCCTTACTATTCGTAATAATGGAAAAAAGCAAGAAAAACGTAGCAACGATAAAACACCAACACACTACACAGGCGAATTAATACCACACGACTGCTACTATAATAATGTACTACAACGACGGACTTGTATTATTGCTGGTGGACGCGACTTTTGAACTCCCCTCTTACTGTTTTTTGTTTTTTAACTACTCAGCGCTTTTGTTATCATACTTTTTATGAAAAATCATTAAATTATGGTTTAATATTTTTAATATTCCAAATTTTAATATTTTTATTTTACTTCAACGTGTTTTTGTCTAGTTTTAATTAAATGCACTTTTCTTTGAAATATATTCAATTACATTTAAATTACATATTTTCTTTGTTGTTGTTCTCTTTTTAATAATCTTTCTTTATCTCTTTCTCTCTACCTGCTGTGTATTAAACCTCCTAGGAGGAGATTTAAATTAAATTTTCTCTGGAATTTTTGCGTTCCTTTATATTAATTATTCTTTTTTTTCTTGTTACACTCACACATACACAAAAGGAGTGGCACTTGCTGTTTTCATGTAAATCTTGTAAATTTTTCGTTTTCTTTGTATGCGTTATTTTATCCTTAATAACTCGACTATTAAGTATTATTTAAATTTTTTACATTATTCTTATAATTTTTAACACAAATTTTTACTCTTAACTTAATTATTTCTTCGTGTCACTAAATTTTTAATCAATTTCTGCTGCTCCAGCACTCACACAAAAGTCAACTTCTCAATGGTTGTAAAAGTGTTGGGTATTTGACTACTGAGTACTTGTTACTGACTAATAATCATATTTTACAACCCTAACTAAAAGCAGTGTTGTTAAGTTTTTCTAAATCTCAGCCGTTAGCTAAATGTATGTTAAAAAACGCTAGAAAATAAAGAAAATATTATAGTTACAGAGAAAAATTTTAAATTTTTATAGAGAAAAGAAAAAGCTACATAAATTTATTTATTTCTATCTTCTAAAAGTTTGCATAAATTACTTATATCAATGTTTAATAACATTTTGACAAAAAAACTAATTAAGTATATATTTTAAGTTACATATATACAAAAGCTGAAGAGTTTATAATATACGTTAAGTAATATTTACATTATAAATGATGAAACGGTTACTTATTGGGCACAGTAGTGCCTTGATTTACGTCCTTATATTGTCTAAATAAATTTCAAAAAATTATATAGACCAAAAAAAAAAAAAAAATGAAAGAAGTTAATACTCAGAGACAAAAGTATGTATACTTTGGATTTGTATACTACAGGATTGAGCAGTGTTAATCCGAAACAAAATACAGCTGATATTTGGCTCTCTATGTTAAAAATTTTTGACTTGTGTTTTTTTTATTAAATTTTAGAATTTTTTATATTATTATACCATTCACCTTCGTGGGAAGGTTATATAGTTATAAGTTTGTCATTCAGTTCAAAATTTCAAAAATTAAACTTGTGTTTTTAAATGCTTATAGGTATCGGACTTGAAAGCCTCAGATGTCTGTGGGATCGAAATCTTTACTAAATCTATTAGACATGCTTTCGAGAAGTTTTGTATTTAAAATTATCAAAGTGTGTTCATAAATAACGGAGATATGAGCGAAATTTTGAAACTACCATGGAAATTTTACGTTTTTTCTTTTGATACGTTTTTCAAAAATTATAGCAGCTATTTCAACAATTTTTTTCACGGGGGTTTTTTATTCTGGAAATAAATCTGTTGAAAATTATTAGAATCGGTTCAAAATTTCATATAGCACCACAGATTCCCGGAAAATGCATTTATTGTAAATAAAATTCCCTCTGTAATATCGGTATTAACACAAAATGTTGCACATATAAATCCTATTACCATAGCTCCCATATAAGGTTCACTTACAAACAAGAACTGAGTAAGAACTAAATAGAACTGAGCTAAAACTAAACTAGTACTAAACTAGAACTAAACTAAAACTCAACAATTGAAATAGAACTAAATTAAAATTACAATATAACTAAAACTGAACCAGAACTGAAATAGAACTGAACTAAAATCTATCTATAACTGAACGAGAACTGCACTACAATTGAACTACTATCAAATAATGGGCATCTCTAAACTCAAAACCATGCTACTTTTAACGATATATAATTTCGAATTGAAATTTAAAATAAAAACCGTTGCTAATATGTTCTTTATTTTAGTACATTCAAAGTGAACATTGATCACAACACAACCCCTTCTGCTGATGATTTGTAATTATCTGTGAATTTGTGTATAATGACATATGTTTTAGTTTATTTATTGTATATACAAAATAAATAGGAATTAAGTATTATTGAGTAGTACATGTAGCAAGATCCATTAACTGCTGCATTATTATAGCAACAACAGTCTTAATATATGGTACATAATTTGCACGCTTAAATAAGTAATGTATTGACAATGAAAAATTCAATATTGCTAACATCTGGAAATAGTTTTGGATGTTTTTTTTTCCTAAATATAATTTCGCACTCCCCTAGAGCAAAATGAAATTTAAAGTTTAAATTCAGTAGCTGTTTAACCTCGCAACTAAAAACATTAAGCCCGCTGATTACTAAGGAAAAATGAGGGTAAAATTTAATTTTTTTTATTTAATTAAAGGAATTTTATTAAATATTTTATTCAATTTCATTAGCTTTCATCCTTGCTTATGCTTATTATGGCCATAATATTATACAATATATTCCATGCTGTTAATAGTGCGGGAGTACCGAATGCAAAACTATTTGCAAAATTTTTGGGTGTAGAAGAAAATATCGTAAAACCCCAAACTGAATTGGAATATTTAAATAATTTCGATTACAAATTAGATGCTTTAAGTCAGACTATTAGTAAAATGGATAATTCTATACAAAATTTACAAGAAAAGTCTCATACTTGGGCCATTTTTCAACATCACATTAATTCCTGGAACGAAGGTATGCGTATTTTAGAAAATAAACTTGATCTTTTGAAAAGAACCCATGAAGAGCAACAACAGCAGTTACAAAAACTAGAAGTCATTATTAGTAGTAATCATCAACATCACCCAGAACCTTTACTGGAAGATATTAAACAGTTTTTAACCACCGAACGTAAAACGAAAAATGAAATTTCCTCCAAGATTAATAATATTTTAAGACTTTTGCAAATGTCCTTAAATGGAAATAATAATAATGAGAGAAAGTCCAATAAACTGGCCAATATAATGGCTCCCATTGGAATTAGTCCAACCAACTCACAATATTCCCAAATTTGCTCTAATATAAGTCATAAACTTGATCAACGTCTGAATAACATCTCACATCAAATGGCTCTACAAAAAGATCTTAAACAATTGAATGCTTTGGAAAGAAGAAATTCCAAAAGTTTGGAGAATATCAATCAAGTGCTGGGTAATCATTTGGATAAACAAGATGAAATTACTACACGTTTACAAAAATCCAATGAATGTTGTTACTCACTATCGAGTGAATTGACTACATTTACCGAAAGTTCGGATATTCTATTGAAACGTATAGAAAAACTGGTACGTAATGTCAGTGAAAAACTAAATAATATTGAGGTGACAACCAACCCAAATAACAACGACGAGCATATTGAAGAGATGGAGGACAATGAAGGGCAAGAGGAGGAATTTGAAAAGGAAGAACATAAAATAAATGAAACTTATGATAGTGCTGAAGATTTGAATGGTATTCTACAGCACAACCAGGAATTGGAGAAAGAAGAGTCTAGTAGTGTTCATAATGTTGATGATGGAAGTGTAACGGAAATATTCGAGTATGATGATGGTAGTCATGATGTGGGTAAGTAAAATGTTTGAATAAAAAATACCCAGAGAAAGTTTTTAAAGAACATTTCCAAGTCTAATTTAAACTTAAAAGTGATTTAATTCGATATAGAAAACAGTCTTTCAATTTCACTTTAAAATGTGAAATTTAAAATGTGAAATATTCCACTCTCGATTAGAAGACAATTCAGTGATACGACCGTACAACAATCTCAAAATGGCCGATTTGAAAGATTTTATACCTTGCAAATATTTATAATTATTTTTCTAAAAAATTTCAGAATTTATACGACCAAATTTAAATGGTTGTCATGAATTGCTGGATGAACTAACCAATGATGATGATGACGACAGCACACGTGTTGATGGTATTTATAAATTTTCCACGCCCGATATAAATGAAGCCGAACGTGATTTTAACGAACGTTATTGTGTATTTCCCACACACTCACGCAACGACACCACAAATGGTTTACCATGGACTGTCATACAAAGACGCGGTCCGTATCAACAACAGGAAAATTTTAATCGTTCTTGGTCTGAATATCGTAATGGTTTCGGTCATTTATCGCGAGATTTTTGGTTTGGCAATGAATTTATACATCGTTTGGTCTATCACGATGACTATGAGTTGCGTATTGAGCTGGAAGATTTTGATGGTGTAGAAAAATGGGCTGAATATGCCGTTTTTCGTATAGATTCGGAGAAATACAATTATAATTTGTTAATTGGTGAATATCGTGGCACTGTTGAGGATGCCATGAAATATCATAATGATAATGATTTCAGTACTTATGATAAACGTAATGATAAAACTGTCGATGCTTGCTGTTCGTGTGCCTTGGGTTATGCTAGTGGTTGGTGGTTTGATAAGTAAGTTTATTATTCAATGTAGAAATAAATATAAAATAAATCAATAAATATAACCCATATCTTTTATGTCATTTTAGTTGCTCTGAGGCCAATTTGAATGGTCTATATCATTACAGCCCTTTGAATCATAATTACATTGGCATTATGTGGGAATTGTGGCATGGTGATTATTCACTTAAAAAAACGCGTATGATGATACGTCCCCGTACTCGAGCTATCCATAATACAGTGGTACATTCTCAAGATTATCATGATTATACAGAAGATCCTTAAACGCTTATTTCTTAATAATAACTATTAAAACAACTTAAACCTATAATATTATCTTGTAATAATTTTAAGCTTCACTTTCAATAAAAAGTATCTCTTGGTGTTAATTTAAAAAGTCCATACTGCTGAACTGGAAATGAACAGGAATTAATCTAGAATTGAAGTAGAACATAACTAGAACTGAACCAAAGCTGAACAAAAATTGAATTAGCATTGAACCAGAAGTGAACTAGAACTGAACTTGAACTAGAACTGCACTAGAACTGAATTAGACCTGAACTAGAACTGAACTAGAACTAGAACTGAACTAGAACTGAACTAGAACTGAACTAGAACTGAACTTGAACTGAACTAGAACTGAACTAGAACTAGAACTAGAACTGAACTAGAACTGAACTAGAACTGAACTTGAACTGAACTAGAACTGAACTTGAACTGAACTGAACTAGAACTGAACTAGAACTGAACTAGAACTGAACTAGAACTGAACTAGAACTGAACTAGAACTGAACTAGAACTGAACTTGAACTGAACTAGCACTGAACTAGAACTGAACTAGAACTGAACTAGAACTGAACTAGAACTGAACTAGAACTGAACTAGAACTGAACTAGAACTGAACTAGAACTGAACTAGAACTGAACTTGAACTGAACTAGAACTGAACTAGAACTGAACTAGAACTGAACTAGAACTGAACTAGAACTGAACTAGAACTGAACTAGAACTGAACTAGAACTGAACTAGAACTGAACTAGAACTGAACTAGAACTGAACTAAGACTGAACAATTCTAAACTAGAACTGAACGAAAAGTGCAG